ATTGACAAGCCCAAACTACATTGTTAATTTGTGTAACTTGCTCCAGTCCGTCAGCATCCATCCTCAGAACCTGTCCAGAAAAACACCATCACTTAGTTTCGAACCAGGATCACCACATATAAATCCCAACTTCCTAACACACTGACCTACATTCATGTTCGCACCTCCACCGACTTCGTGTCTAGCTGCCTGCCTCCTGTTCATCACCTACCACCTCTTTTCCCATCAACAACATCATCCTCCTTCCCCCACCTTAGTTCGCCATACGAATGCTCTATCTCCTCCGACTCTCTTCGACGTGCCCATCAGCTTATTGCTCTCCACTCCTGCAGTCCGTGCACCCTACCAGTACGGTACTTGTTGGACCCCGACGACCACATCGATCACTACTTTCTTCCCAGGGTATGTCTTCACTGGCGAACTACCGTATTCATCATCACTCGACCAGGCATCCGAGGACGAAGATGAGGATGCCTCCACCTCCTCTGCAAAAACAACCTCTGCACAAGGAGCGATAAACGGACAATAAATACCGCTTCGCTCCGCTAATTCATTATCATTCTCAACGTCATAGAACTCCGCTTTCTCGGCCATGCCGGGGACTGAAGACGGGGCGTGCCGTGTTGAATACCCGCATCGAGTCGTGACGGGTAAAACCCTCCCCACGAGACGGGACTCGTCGACACATTTCGAACAACCATCGACTTCTAAGGAAATATTAGGTCGGATGAGTTTTACTTTTCTTTTTCAAACGGCGTTCAGCCTGGACCTTGTCTAGAGCACCACAGAGGGAGGCGAAGGCCACATGAGTCGGACCTAGACTATACAAGTACCAGCATGCACGCGGGCCCATGGAGCATACACTTTATTGCCAGTACTGGAGTCTTGGAAGATAGTGGAGAGAAGCCCAAGAACCTGACATGGAGGGATATGCCTTTTTCTACGCAAGGCACGATTAGGGAGAAACTCAGAAGTTCTTCCAAGAATCGAACCAGAGATCTTTCGGATGCAAAACAACTCCTCTAACCAACGGCACTGAGGTAACTCACATGATTTTCGGCCATTCATATTTGCAGCCGAGGCCAGCAGTGATGGCACCGCTGTAGAGTAGGCAATCATCAGCCTCTAAGAATAGTGACCAACTTTTAGCGCGCCACAAAAATGATCATGCTACGGTCGAATATGACTAGATGAGCCTCAAAGTCCTTCCTCTGAGTGACCATTACCATCACTGAATTGTCATGCCCAAGCGACGACCATTCCCCCGGGCCTAAGCAGATTACCAAATCGATGCGCATGCGTGCAGACTCCAACTGACACTCAGCGACGTCACCCGCACACGATTTACCCTCTCTAGCCATCATACTCAAGCCATCGATTTGGACCACAATCGTCGACTCAGCCTGGCCTAGCATATCTACTTTCCTGAAAGTATACAGTACGCGCCATCTTAAGACCGACAATACGTGTGCAGAGGCAACTTTTTCTACAGAGCGATTTTCAAGCTAAAATTTCGAGTATAAGCCCCTCTCATATAGTAACTATGTAAGGGGGGCTTATATTCGAAATTTCAACTATATTATAGTCATATTGCATGGAACCTGTCCGCAATCGATTTTCGGAAAACAAAATTTTATGGCAGTTTTGCACGTGTCCGACCCTCGATACTGAACCGGCGCCCCTCGAAATTAATTAAATGCATAACACAATGAGGTAATCCATCTGTGCCTAATCACTAGCAGTGACCAGAGCGTCGATAACACGGCTTGTTCCTCAAGAAGACGGCAAAAATAAGCGAAGAGATTGAGTTCACCCAATCATCCACGCAATCGGCGGATACATGTACCACGGTCAATTCTAGCAGCATCCTGAGTGCCTCTAGCGCTGGAGAGGAATCCTCTCAGAGGATCTCAGCCGTTTTCAGAGGAGCCGGGCCAAGGCGGCCAGGAGCCGACGTAAGCGAATCTCTGAGAGACTAGCCACTAAGACAACAGCTGCCTCATCCGAGTGCTCTGTCTCTACAGCAGGGCACGGCTATCACACGAGGCTAAGTCCGTTGAGTGGGAGTCAGGTTCGCAATGTTGGACATGTTGGGAAGAGATCTGGGCCAAAAGTGTGTATCAAAACTAGTACAGCGTAAGGGAACGCGCAGACCAAGTAAACGAGAGCTGAAGATCGGAGAAGCGCGAAATGCCGCTTGAAGAGAGAAGACAGCCCGAATGAAGGAGCAGTTGCTGGTTGACAATCCATTGGATGATATTTCATGGGATATGAAGAAGAGGTTGGCAGTTTACTTTGTTTTAAAGCAAGCCTCTGTCACACATCCAGGCTCGATAGCAAAGTATCTGGCGGGGTCAGAAGTTGTTTTGCCGCTTTGATGGGTCTTTCGCCGGGGAGCATAACTGCTTGGATTCGAGAATATGAGATTAATATGGAGCTCTCTCAGAGT